CATTCACTTTTAGGCATAAATTTGTTCACCTTGAGAGCCTTCAGTGGTTTTAGGTCAGTCTTTGCAGAAGGAAACGTGAATCTGGATGCTTAGTTCTTTGTCCTTCTGAACAGCTTGCTGAGTGTCTGGGCAAGCTCTCAGATGCTGGTATGTATTAGAATAATGTACAAATAGATATTTGAATAAAAATTTGAAGAATGTTTTGCTAGGTCAAGCCACTTTTCTGATAACACCTTGCAACAGGCAATAGCAAATGTTGAGGGAAGTACATTAAAATAAATATGTAATGATAATTTTCCAGTATAATCCTCCCAGTTTTATTGGTGTCTGGTTCAGGGAGATAGTGATCCAAAAGTGGCATCATTCTGTTTAAGAGGTGTTTGTGGATTTCTCATTTACAGATTTTTGTAATCTATTCCAAACCCGTATAAGCTTCTAGTACTGACAACACCCAGTTTGTGCAGTGTCAATAATGTAAGTGTATGAAAAGGAGATCTCATAAGGCACAATTTTGTTTAAAATGAGAATTTCTCTACTTCATATTTCTCAAAGAGAAAATTAGCACGTTTTCAGTGATTGCTTACATCCTTATCATAGAATCATAGAATCATAGAATGGCCTGGGTTGAAAAGGATATCAAAGTTCATCTAGTTTCAATGCCCTGCCATGTGCAGGGTCATCAACCACTAGACCAGGCTGCCCAGAGCCACATTTAGCCTGGTCTTGAATACCTCCAGGGATGGGGGATCCACAGCCTCTCTGGTCAGCCAATTCCTTGCTGGAATCCAGTGTTTTTCTATACTCTTCCTTGAGATACGAACCACAAATCCAATCCTATCCATGTAAATTGAAATTTGTATTGATTTTAATGCCATACATGACTATAATGTGTTGCCATTGTCCATTACCCTCCTTGTTCCTCTGTTCCATCTGGGGACAGGAGAAAAGTAGTGAGTGACTTGTGACTTCCTAGGACCAAGCAATGTTGACAAGCAATGTTGACAACTTGAGTGAAGAGTTGAGTGCCTACCTCTACTTTACACACAGAACATCAGCACCTCATTTGTAGAAAATCTTATACCTAAATGTGTCTCAGCTTCCATAGATAAAACAGAATTTCATAAATGGAGGCTTTGTTGGCAACGCAGCAAAGAAGTTCAGATTGTCGTTTAGGGTTAGCAAGGGCAAAACCACAGGAGATTGTCCCTTTGTTCTTTTGAATCTAGCAACTGGTATCTTGACACCACCTTGGCAAAAAGGACAGGTATAAAGACCTAGTAAAATTACAGCAGCCTGCTATAAAATTACAGAATACACTCTGTATCCTGCAAAGCAAAGCTGGATATTGAGTGTGGCATCCCCAAACAAACTTGTGTCTCAGGAACTGTTCTCTCAATACCCTTTTCTCTCAGCCTGAGGAGCAGGGTCTCTGGAGGGCACTGTGGCTTGTTGCCTCAGCATCTTTTAAAAGATTGCCCTGACAAAAATCAGAGATTCAAAGTTCCATTTCCATTTCTTTTAATTTTTTTCTGTGCTTTGTTATCCCAGCACAGAGTGTCAAATCAAGATTTCATTCACAGACATTTATTTTAATCTTAAAACTATTCACTTTTTACCTTTACATTTGATGAATAAATACACACTGAGGTTCTGAATGCTTCATTCACAGAAGTAAATAAAAAACAACTTGACTTGCCCATAAATGCAAAAGAGACATCAAACTCATGTTTAGAGGAAGAAAACCTGGATATTCACGCATAGTTGGAAAAAAATATCTACAAGATCTTATTACTCCCACCTCTATGGTTTAACCAGAAACTTATCTTCTCTGTTTTCTCTCTGTGACTGAACATGAAACAAGGTCAAGAACAAATAGGTTGGTCCAGCTGCCCCTCGCAAACACTGTGCTGTGGTTTAACTTGGCAGGCAGCTGAACACCACACAGCCCTTCACTAACTCACTCCCCTGCTCCCTGTGGGATGGAGGAGAGAATCAGGAAAAAAAGTAGAAGTCATAGCTTGAGATAAAAGCTATTAATTAAGACAGGACAGGAAGAGAGAAATAACAGTAATGATTACATATGTATGTATATATGTATATATATTTACAAAAGAAGTGATGCACAAGCAATTGCTTACCACCAGCTGACTTATGCCCAACCAGCCTCTGAGCTGCAGCTGCCCCCCAGCCCATTCCCCTCAGTTTTACTGTTTTTTCACATGATGTCATAAGGTATGGAACAGCCCTTTGGTCAGTTTAAGTCAGTTGTCCTGATTCTGCCCATTCCCAGCTCCTTGTGCCCCCTTACTGGCAGGACAATACAATAAACTGATACTGGCTCTGCGCAGTACTGCTCAGCAACAGCTTACACATTGGTGTGTTATCAACATTGTTTTTCTCCTACAGCCATAACCACAATAGCATCATACCAGACACTGTAAAGAACATCAACTCTGGCCCAGCTGAAACCAGGACACAGTGCAGCACTAGCTACCATTACTCTTAACCTTATCGGCCTCTGGGAGTATACAGAATGTAAAAGGAAACAAGTCACAGAAAACCTGGCTTTGAAGGAGGGTAGAAGGGAACAAAAAGCATTTAATGATTTAATGATATCTTGGATGCCTCCCTGACGTACATAGAAAGATAACCATAGAACAACTGAAAAATGATCCCACAACTGAGCTGTCTTGCACTATGAATAAATCAACAGTCTTTGGAAACATGTTCAGTAGCCTCCTGAAAGCAGAGGAGAACATAAAGGATTTTTTTGCTTCATAAAACAACACCTCAAGCAGTAGAACTTAGGCTATTTTGTGTACTGTCTGAAGAGGCGGTCAGCATCACAAGAGCCATGCTGATTCTCGAGATGATTAAAAGTTCAAGTCAGTATTGTAGATTTACATATAAAACCACGAGACTTTTGTGAAGGCTTTCTTATGAATACCATACAAATTTAAATTACACATTAGGAACTTGAATACATTATTTAAATAGAGGTATACATGCTGTCATATTCCAAAAGAAAAATGGTTGTCAAGTTGTTAACTCTAAAACCGTTTCCTCCTAGTTGGTCTCTGTACTCTCAGCTGATCACTGGGTGTTTACACAGCAAGGCTTTATACCATGCATGGTGAGGTTTTGCCAGGGAAAGTAGTGGAGTTCACTGCAGGAAGTGCTGCATGTGCTTGTCCCTGTACATTCCTATAGAAACACACACTTTTTCTGACACCCCTCATTCCTCAATTGCTCCCTTCCCCAAATGAAATTTTATTTTCTTCCTCCACTTTGTCACTCGTGTACCAGAAAGAGGCAATCCCAAGACCACGGGTAATCACTGTCTGTGAGTGCGGTAGCACAATATGTGAATGGCAGAGGAGAGAAGCTGTATGAACTCCTAAGGTCTCCTGGCATTTATAAAGACTTTCCGTAAGATTTACTGGGTCTGTAAGTGTGTAATGCACCAAAAAAAGTGAACCTTGCCCCTTTTTTTCTTGCTCATTGAAGCTATCGCTCCTTGTCCATCAGGCCTCCATGAGGAGTTTAGAAAGTGGTGGGACGCTCTCACGCCCAAACCCTGCGCACTTAGCATATGAATGCTCCAGCGATTGTTTGAAGCAACAATTAGGAGGACACTGGATAAAGGAGGAAACTGGAGACAGCAACTAACACCTGTGAATCAGAACTTAAACAGCTTTCTTTTACATAATTAATTAAAGATGCAGGCACAATGCATACTGACTTGAAAACACAGTCCAAAGACAATACCCGTGCACATGAGGCCCTTTGCCTCTGCTTTCGGTTCTGCTGCTCACGTGGGAGGGTTGTTCTTTTTGTAGAAATCTTAGTCATGACTGAATGTTGCTAAGTGTTACAAGGGTGTTTTTTTGATGGGGAGGAAGAAAGTGAAGAAAAAAACATTGAAAAGGAATTCCAATTTCGTGGAGGTTGCCGATGAATTTATTAAAATACACGGACTTCAGATAGGTAGCAGAAAATCATTCTAAAGCACTGAAGAGTGCTAACCTTCCAAATAGCAATTGCGATTGAATGTACTGTAAGCAGTGCTACAGACTTGTTCTTATTAAAGAAAAATAAGTGGATGTTATACTTCTGTTTCATGAAATTGTATTTATTGCAGAATGTGAGCAAAATTCCATGGCATTTTCTCAAGGAGACAATCCATATGTGTGCTCATATGCAATTATTTCTTAAATGGGTTATATTGTGCCTCTTCAGAGCAGTATTTGATGAAACTTGTGAAGATATTATTACTCTAGAAATTACCAAAGAAATCTCCAATTTGCATATAATAATAAGTAGTATGGGGCACATTCTTCTATGTGCATGCATCAGCAGTATTGCTAGAATTATTCCAGCAAAGAGCACAGTGGTGAAGGTTATCCAGTAGTCAGAAAAAAAATCAATTTATACAGTGAGTTTCTCTAGAGAAAAACAATGTTATAAAAAGTGTCGAATATCTAGCTTTTCTCAGTAGGGTTTATGGAGATACACATACATTAGTTACAGTGCTGATGCTAGCCCGCAGTGAAATTTTTGAATATTTCTTCATTATTTTTAAATGGCATCAATAATATAAAGATAGAGGTAAAACTGTGAAGTCTAACTATACTGAAGTTGAAGTTCAGTTTTCCTTGACTTTCAAGTAATTTAGTCTGGTTCTTTCTGAAGGACATCACAGATGATGTCAAGTGTAAAGCTAAAAGTTGAGAACTGAAAAACAAACGAGATTCAGACAAACTGAAAAAAACACATAAAAAACACATTGTTTTGTTTGTGACCTTTATATGATACAATACAAATGGTATTTGTATTCTAGTCAACCATTCTCACCGTTTGAAGTTCAAAATACAGACTAAGTAAATCATATATCAGTAATTCCCACAGTGGTTATCTTCTTGGAGTTGAGAGAGTCATCTATATGTCATGTTCCTATTAGCCTCTATTTTTAATATTGTAAATTCATTGCTATTTTGCAGATTTGGTATACGGATACTACAGACAGCAGCGGAAGTTGACTGAAGAAGTTGATTGGTCATATACAGGTAAACAAAACTTTCTTACCAAAGAACTTACTTTGCTTTCATGTCTTCACGTTCATTCCTATAACTTCAAGAGCCTGTTTTGTGTATCTACCATCTACCATATGACTAAACAATTCCTGAAGTAAAATGTAGAAAATGGATTCTCAAAAATCATGGCAATTTTGCAGCGGGAGAGATTATGCTTCCTATGTCTGTGACTTCGGGAAAAAGCCTTAAAACCTTAAACTTGACACTTCAATGAAGGCTGGGACTTCATTGTTAGGTTCTCTTTTGTCATCTGAATACTTCTATTCAGGTAAGTCTGAAAAGCACACAGAAAGGCTGAAACAATGTGCAATGCATTTTGTGGGTGAGAATACACCCATATATTGCATATGAACTTCTGTGCTTTGCTTCTGGCTACTCAAGCATCCTTTCAGGCACCATGCTACTTATCCTAAAAAGTCAGTCATTAGGCAGTAAAATCTCATTTGCATGAGTAAGAAAGTTATATCCTTAAATTCTGAATGAGTGTTTCTTAATCATGGAAGAGCTATAGGAAATTTAAAATTACCCTCCTCGATTCTTCTGTATAAGTCAAGCCACTTCCAGTAATATTGGAAAGATATTTTTTTTTCCCTAAATGATACATGTATTTTACCCAGAACATAAAAATTGTCTTCCTGTGAATGTGTTTAGGCTCTTACATTTTTAATGATTTCAGTTATTGTTTAAATAAGGACTTCCAGATTTCAGTGTTTCATATATTTGTTCAAAATATGTTCAAGTAACTAAAGAAAATTATACCGTTCTTTTTCTTTCTTTCACTCTCTTTCTCATTTTTGGGATAGTTTTTATCTTCCAGGGTAAAACATATCTAACAAGTTTTGAGCCTAGAGAGAATTGAAACAAGTTAGTCATAAACCCTTCAAAATGAGATTTATAATGAAAACTCCCACTTACACACATTGTACGGCAAAACTCAAGCATAAAATCAATCATACAATATTCTGTGTCCAAAATCCATCCGTTTTTTAATATTGCAGTTAGAGAAGTGCAGAGATAAGCCTCCAGGATTACAGGTGACCAGAGGGCAATTTATGAGTTTACTTTAAAGAACACTGAATGAATTTTACATAGGACATCAGAGAAGGCTAACTCAGAGCATGCACCCACTGTGCAGCTGCAGCAACAGCCTCAGATTATATTTGCTGGGTATTCTGTATTGCTGGATGGCAAAACTGCATAGACTCTGCAAGCTGGAGAACTCAGACCTGCTGGCTCACTCCTGTAATATGTGAGATACCAGCATGTAGTCATCTCACTTTGCATGCCTCTCCCTCCTGATTTACTGCTGGCAAAGCCTTTCTCTTTAACCATACATATATACTCAGGTGCATACGGTGCTTGAGGACATAAAGTGTGAGGGCCCTGCTTCAGCACTTTTCATGCAGACATCTCCAGTTATAGAATCATAGAATCATAGAATGGCTTGGGTTAAAAGGGCCCCAAAGATCATCTGGTTTCTACCCCATGCCGTGGCCACGGTCACCAACCACTACACCCGGCTGCCCAGAACTACATGCAGCCTTGCCTTGATTGCTTCCAGAGATGGGGCATCCACAATCTCTCTGGGCAACCTGTTCCAGTGCATCACCACCCTCTGAGTGAAAAACTTCCTCCTAATATCTAACCTAAATTACCTGTCTTAATTCAAAACCATTCCCTCTTGTCCAATCTCTATCCATCCACGTAAACAGTCATTCCCCCTCCTGTTTATACGCTCCCTTCAAGTACTGGAAGGCCAATCCTTGCCATGACAGGACAAGGATTTTCAGAGCCTTATTGCAGGGCTACATATAAATCATGTACACAGTACCTAGGCACTGTTTTATGTGGTGTTTTCCTAAAATACCTTTGGATTGATTTATGACATAAACAGAGTACACAAATTCAGCTTTCTCTTAAAAACACAGTCTTCTTGAATTTGAAGATAAGTTACAACATTTCACATAACTGTGCCTCATTGCTCAGAGCACAAGTGCAAACAGTGTCAAGTACTCATATGTATAAATTTAATATTTTCTTCAATATATTCAGAATCCAGACTAGCATACTGAGAGTTGCCTAGAACCACCTGAGATGCCCGTGAGTATCTGAGGCACATGGCAGGACTTCAAGATTTATTGGGCAGTGTTAGTGGTGAATGGACTAGATAATCCTGGAGGTTCCTTTCCAACCTTAATGGTTCTATGATTCTATGATAACTACTACAGCTAACTCAGATCTACAGTTTTGAGACATAAGGCAACACACACATTCTGAATAGATGACCTATACTTTGTCAGTTCATCGCTTCTGTGGACACCACTTATATTTCTCTATTTTATAACCCACTCACTGAAAAACCTAAAAAATTAGCCTCCATGTGCCAGTGAAGTTTTATGAGTGGGCCTTGGGACCATGCAGCCATGCAGTTCAATCAGCTATGACAAGGAAGCATCTACCTAGCATGGTAAATTTATCTGAGTTTCAGCAGACTTCATTCATATCAAATAAGAAATGTCAAATGCATTAGTTATAGTAAATCAATAAACTTCTTTTGCTGTGAGCAAAAGTGAAATAGAACTAGAGAAATAACTTGAATTTCACCTGCTGAAATCATGTAATTTTTGAAGGTATATCCTAATGAAGCAATTTCACGTACTTTAACTTATATGACTAATCATCACATTTTGATTCTTTGGTAAATGTCTAATGATAGCATAAATGTTACTGGAAACATTTTGTATTATCTAAGAACTCAGCTCTGATCCACAGACAAAGCCTGCACTTTCAAGCATGATTATTTTTTTGTGTATGTGTTTCCTGACTTTGTGTATATTTGCACAGACAGTAGAGTATTAAAAATGTAGCCAGGGCAAGTGAACATTGTATTTGCATCCATTTTCTTCAGGAGAAATTGATTTTAAACTAGTCTACTAGTAGACATTACTTGAACAAACTTCTTTCTGTTTTTTCATTAAAGCAGTGATAGAAAGTATTTTTGATGACATCATGAATATTTTTAAATTGTCATATATTAAAAGTGAATTCAACCATTACTGTTTTTGAAAAAACAAGTGTACTGAGAAAAGGTATTTTCTCAAATCAGTTACATAGAAGTTGATAACCAGAGATCATTTAGACATTATTTAGCTCCACCACTAAGGTTAGGCAAAAGATGCCCCAAAGAAGGGTTCTTTTTTCAGTGCAATTCTTTTCGGTTGAGATTGTTACTCCTGAGATTTGAGTTCCTGTTGATTTTACAACGAACAAGTTATGTGGCTTAGGGTAAAACTTGAGCAAAATTCTATTAAAAGCAAGAAATTCTGAACAGGAATTGCAAAAACTGAATAATTTTTTAAATTGAATTATGCAAATGAATAGCATAGCCAGCTCAGTGTTCTTTGTCTCTTCACGACTATTAAGTTCACTTTGTGTTGCCATTAGTTATATGATACAATGAGCCACAATTGTCTTGTAGTCACTAGCTACTCTTTCCTTGACAAAAGGTGATTTTAATCTAAACTTCGGTGTCTCTTGAGTATTCAAAGATAATTTTGTGATTTGCTGGTATTGTTGTTTGTTTGTTTGTTTGTTTGTTTTTGTCTTTTCCTCCAAGCAAAATGTATCTCATAATTCCCTTTTTTCTCTGGGGGTATTCTGAATGTTAGAATAAGAATTACAGAATCACAGAATGGCCAGAGTTGGAAAAGACCTTAAGGATCATGAATCTCAATCCCCACCACATGCAGGGCCACAAACCTCTCCATTTCATAGCAGCCCAGGCTGCCCAGGGCTCCATCCAACCTGGCCTTGAACACCTCCAGGGACGGGGCATCCACAGCCTCTCTGGACAGCTGTTCCAGCACCTCACCACTCTCTCTGTAAAGAATTTCCCCCTGACATCCAACCTAAATCTTCCCTCCCTCAACTTAAAACCATTTCCCCTTGTCCTGCAGTTATCAACCCTTTCAAAGAGTTGATTCCCCTCCTGTTTGTGGGCTCTCTTTAGGTACTGAAGGGCTGCAATGAGGTCACCCTGCAGCCTTCTTTTCTTCAGGCTGAACAAGCCCAGCTCCCTCAGCCTGTCCTCATAGGGGAGGTGCTCCAGTCCCCTGATCATCTTCGTGGGCCTCCTCTGGACCCTCTCCAATGGCTCTCTGTCTTTGTTCTGCTGGGGGCTCCAGACCTGGACACATTATTTGTGTTTGAAATGATTCTTGAGGATCCTATGGTCCAAATAAAGCTGCACAAAGCTTGTTCAGACCATGCCCAACTGAGTTCTGAAATTCTCTAAGGAGTGAAGTATTGCAGCTGGGGCAATGTGCTCTACCTTTATTCTGAAGTTTTAATTTTCATTTAAACAGCTGCAATTTCTCTTACATCAACTTGCAACCATTGCCCCTTGCCCTTCACCTTTGCACTGCTTGTAGATGACCTTTACGTAGCAGTAGACTTCAGCCAGGTTTCCCCTTTCCCTGTTCTTCTCTGCACTGGTACAGACTCACCTCGAATAACATGTGCACATTTGGGCACCATAATCTAAAGACATGTTAAACTGTTAGAGAAAGTCCAAAGGAGGGCTACAAAGATGGGGAAGTGTCTAGAGGGTAAGGTATATGAGGAGCGGCTGAGGCCCCTGGGTGTGTTCAGCCCCTAGCAGAGGAGCTGAGGGGAGATTTCATGGCAGCTGCCTCTCCTCAAAGGGAGCAAAGGGGCAGCTCTACTCGTTGGTGACAGCGACAGGACACGGGGGAATGGCATGGAGGTGTGTCAGGACAGGGTCAAGTGAGGATTAGGGAAAAGGTTATTCACCAGAGTGTGGTCAAGCACTGGAACAGTGATCATGGCACTGAGCTGCGAGAGTTCAAGAAGAATCTGGACAACACTCTCAGAGATATGGTCTGATTTTTGGTGGAGCAAGGAGTTGAACTCGATGATCCTTGTGGGTCCCTTCCAACATGGGGTATAATATG